TTTTTTCAAATACAGTTGAGGCTAATCTTAGACCATTGTAGAGACATTGTATAAACCAATGTGAAGTGTAGGAAAACTTACCAGTGCCAGAAAGCTCTCTAGCCTCATCACTGGTCCACACGTCCAGAATCCTGAGGTTATCAATAGTAATAGTATAAGAATAGTTCACATTCTCTTGGAGGCTCGTATTGCCAACAGTTATACATTTGATAGAGTTTTAAATTACATGACACATCACTTAAAACAATGGAGGAGGGTGTTATGGAGGGGTGGGTGTCGGGGAGGGGTGGGTGTCGGGGAGGGGTGGGTGTCGGGGAGGGGTGGGTGTCGGGGAGGGGTGGGTGTTGGGGAGGGGTGGGTGTCGGGGAGGGGTGGGTGTCGGGTAGGGGTGGGTGTTGGGTAGGGGTGGGTGTTGGGGAAGGGTAGGTGTTGGGGAGGGGGGCTAAGATTTTGTGACGATGAAATTGTCTAGAAAAAAATTAAACCGTGACGATGAAAAGAAAAAATGGGGGAATCGGTCAAAAAAGCCTGACATTTAGGGATTCATAAACTTGCTCAGTCCTTGATATACCCATGGTTCAAGACAAGTGGATACCAAGGGGTTAAGACAAGTCGATACCAAAGGGTTAAGACAAGTGGATAAAAGTTCAAGACAAGTGGAAAAAAGGTTAAAGACAAGTGGATTAGAAGGCTCAAGACAAGTGGGTAGAAAGGGTCAAAGCAAGTGGATACCAAAGGATACATACAAGTGGATACAAGGGTCAAGACAATATGATACAAGGGTCAAGACAAATGGATATCAAGGGGTCAAGACAAGTGGATACCAAAGGGTCAAGAAAAGAGGATACCAAAGGGAAGATAAATAAAACACGTACGTGTTGTAGTCCCATGAGTAAAATTCATTGAATCTGCTGAAGTTATTCTCTCCTGTATAAACATTCATCACCCCGTATGTTCTGTTGTCAGTGTCCTGGAAATGAAGGGATCGTCATATGTGAATGAGGGGGGTCACTAGGGCTTGACTAGACGGGGGGTCACTAAGGGTTTACTAGACGGGGGGTCACTAAGGGTTGACTAGACGGGGTCACTAAGGGTTGACTAGTTGGTGGTCACACGGGGTTGACTTGACGGGGGTCACTAGGGGGTGAATAAACGGGGATCACTAGGGGTTGACTAAACAGGGATCACTAGGAGTTGACTAAACAGTGATCACTAGGGGTTGACTAAACAGTGATCACTAGGAGTTGACTAAACAGTGATCACTAGGGGTTGACTAAACAGTGTTCACTAGGGGTTGACTACACAAGGGTCACTAGGGGTTGACTTGACGGGGGTCACAAGGTGTTGGCACCCTAAATGAATATACATTTTGGCACAATATTACCAAAAGGTTGCTGCCCCCGGGATTTAAGAACCGTTCAATGTTTTGCAGCACCGTAGAGAGGCCATAATCCCTCCCTGTCAGATGATGCGACACAGGTTGAAGGGGGTGGGGGGTTGGTAGCAGATTACTCACAATATGTAAAATTTCGGTTGAGTTATCCTCATTCTGTGTATGCAAGGTTAAGAGGAAATCTGTGACATCCGAGGCATGATCTGTGACATCCGAGGCATGATCTGTGACAACACGTGTTAAATGTTAAAATTATCATGCAAGGGAAATAACTAGATAAATTGTACTTGTGCATTTGTTTGTTCCCCTTGAAATACCGTCAGCACTGCACAAGTATTAAAAAGACAGCTTCTTTAAAAGCGATCACTTCCCCTCCACGTGATCATCTGTTATTATGGCACCAGTTGTGTAACACATCCCCAGCTCAACGGTCTAGGATTATCCCCACCTCGCGTGTTTCAACATTCCCAAACCCGGTTATTTTTGTACACCTCACCTGTTTCTCCACCGCTATCCACCGCTATCCACCGCTATCCACCGTGTCCGAATAGACTACTCACCAACTCTCCTATCCCTTTCTACCACTCACTAACTCATCTGTTTTTGGCAACCTGCTAAAATCACCTTTCTCTTATATCACTAGTTCACCGGTAACTTTTATCACTAGCTCACCTGCCACTTTTATCACTAGCTCACCTGTCACTTTTATCACTAGCTCACCTGTCACTTTTATCACAAGCTCACTTGTCACTTTTATCACTAGCTCACCTGTCCCTTATATCACTAGTTCACCTTTCACTTCTATCACTAGCTCACCTGTCACTTTTATCACTAGCTCACCTGTCACTTTTATCACTAGCTCACCTGTCAATATTATCACTAGCTCACCTGTCACTTTTATCAATAGCTCACCTGTCACTTTTATCACTAGCTCACCTGTCTTTTATATCACTAGCTCACCTGTCTTTTATATCACTAGCTCACCTGCCACTTTTATCACTAGCTCACCTGTCACTTTTATCACTAGATCACCTGTTACTTTTATCACTAGATCATCTGTCACTTTTATCACTAGCTCACCTGTCTTTTATATCACTAGCTCACCTGTCACTTTTATCACTAGCTCACCTGTCACTTTTATCACTAGCTCACCTGTCACTTTTATCACTAGCTCACCTGTCACTTTTATCACTAGATCACCTGTCTTATATTACTACCTCACCTGTCTCTTATATCACTAGCTCACCTGTCTCTTATATCACTAGCCCACCTGTCTCTTATATCACTAGCCCACCTGTCTCTTATATCACTAGCTCACCTGTCCCTTATATCACTAGCTCACCTGTCTCTTATATCACTAGCTCACCTGTCTCTTATATCACTAGCTCACCTGTCCCTTATATCACTAGCTCACCTGTCCCTTATATCACTAGCTCACCTGTCTCTTATATCACTAGCTCACCTGTCCCTTATATCACTAGCTCACCTGTCCCTTATATCACTAGCTCACCTGTCCCTTATATCACTAGCTCACCTGTCCCTTATATCACTAGCTCACCTGTCTTTTATATCACTAGCTCACCTGTCTCTTATATCACTAGCTCACCTGTCCTTTATATCACTAGCTCACCTGTCTCTTATATCACTAGCTCACCTGTCTCTTATATCACTAGATCACCTGTCTTATATTACTACCTCACCTGTCCCTTATATCACTAGCTCACCTGATAGTTTGAACACCCGGCTCCGATACAAGTTGAACAGTTCGCTTACGGTGTACGCCTGTAAGACTCCGGTAACCCTCTCATCCAACCTGAAACCGGCCGTCTCCTGTTTAAGTCTCCTCTTGTCATTGGTGGACTACAGGACGGGAAGTGATAAGACATTTTAGAACATTCGAACTGTGCAAGCACCAGCCTGACTTGCGCGAAACATAGAGGAGAGGTTTTGTGGGAACCAAGAATGTGGGGGCCTGGGGGTGTGGGGGCTATGGGTGTGGGGGCTATGGGTGTGGGGGCTAGGGGAGTGGGGGCGAGGGGAGTGGGGGCTAGGGGAGTGGGGGCTAGGGGAGTGGGGGCTAGGGGAGTGGGGGCTAGGGGAGTGGGGGCTAGGGGAGTGGGGGCTAGGGGTGTGGGGCTAGGGGTGTAGGGCTAGGGGTGTGGGACTAGGGGTGTGGGACTAGGGGTGTGGGACTAGATGTGTGGGGCTAGATGTGTGGGGGCTGGCAAATAGTTTTATTATTATGTCCATTCATTTTAAAGCACGTTCAGTTAGCTCACTCCCATCCACGGTTAATGTATAGCTTGTGTTTTTTTAAGTCATCATTCCCGGGAGGGGGGGCACCGGCTCACTCCAAATCCCACCACACCACCCCGAGGAAGTCAAGTGCCGGCGAAAATGTGTAAAATAATAAAATTATAAGCTTATTTTTTTTTTATTTTAACATACTTTTTAAACATTTTCGTTCAAAATCACTAAATAATCAGTGGTATGTTCAAATTGTTGCCATTTAAATTAGTGAAATTGTGCAAACAAATATCGACGGGATAAATATATTTGTTGGATAAAATATTTAAGTCGAATCTAGTTATAGTATTCGATTCCAAATATTTGCTGACCTGCATTGCTGACCACTGACCAGCAATTCGGACCACTAACCTGCAATTCTGACCACTGACATGCAATTGTGACCACTGACATGCAATTGTGACCACTGACATGCAATTGTGACCACTGACCTGCATTGCTGACCACTGACCTGCATTGCTGACCACTGACCTGCATTGCTGACCACTGACCTGCAATTCTGTGCTTGTGATTATGGTGTCGTTGACAGTTCCGTTGGACAGTGACGGAACAAACTCGATCACGTGGTTATCCTCGTAGGTCACTGTGAAGTTGTCATTCCAGGTCACATTGACCTTCTCCATGGTTATCCTGGAACCCAGAAGAAAATAAATGTGTCTTGAGATATGACGCCTTCTGCGTGATTTAAAGACACTTTTTTTAGAATCCATTGGGAAAAGGGGAGTTAATTTGTGAGTTGTCTTGAAAGGTTGTTTTTACTCATAAACATTTGTTCACAAATGATGTATTACAGTTGTGGGGAGGCCAGGTTGGGCCTAATTTGCCCTGCGCACACTCACATGTCCACACACACTCACCTGCCCACACATTCTCTCACCTGCCCACACATTCTCTCACCTGAAGACATATGGCCCTTTCTCTTCTACCACAGGTGGCTCCAGTCCCTGGTCAAACGCGTCGTGGTTGGTGACGTTAAAGAAATAAATTGTTAGAAATGCAGTTCCTGTTGGCTTCTGCCATTCTGGACTTTGACCTTCTTTTAGTACCGCATTCTGCCATATGGATACACATTTAACAATGTCAACAGAAACAGTTTTACTTTAAAAAATATTAGAACATTTCTTTACGGAAATTTTTCGATTTGTTTTTAATATATGATCTAACACAGGAGTTGGGGCAAGTTCTGAAACATGTAATGTAATAATTATGTAAAAACTTTTGAAAATTTATAATCACCGAATCAAATTGTCAAACTAATCATATTGATCACAGCACATTTAGAAACTATTCTTCTGCCTATTTTCGAACAGAACTCAGAGTGAACTTTTGAGCCAAAAAATCTAGAATCCTATAAAAGTATCATTAGGCGCACCAACTAAACAATTTCCAAGCGGCCCTCTGCATAACAAAAATACCCATCCCTGACCTAATAGTGGTTGTTAGGGAAGTTTTAGTTCTAAAATAATATCACGATATAATTTTGTTGAAAGTTAACCCGAAAGAGCCACATTAAAACACCGACTGCAGCAACTATCCCTGCCGACGGTGCCAGAGATTATTCCGAGCACGGATCGGACTAGCAAGCCACCTGCGAGCTCACAGGACGACTCGATGGCCCTAGTGGATTTCGACGGGCGAACAACAATATTTTGCTACATTCCTGATTTGACTTTTAAGGGGTAAATGGATCAATGGATTTTAAACATTGTACATTATACGCAAGGAGACTATCCTCTTGAATCCACACAAGGATAATACACTAACCTGCTTGATGTAGTAATGACAAGGATAATACACTAACCTGCTTGATGTAGTAATGAAACCTGGGTATGGCCACACCGTACATGACGACTGCCAGGATGATCAGGACAAGGGCGCTCACTGCCGACCCAATGACACATTTCTTGGCAGTCAGGCAATGACACAGTCCACAACAGCACAACTTCCTGATGATACATGATAACTTTATTTGCATTGCAGTTGGCAGTAACAGAATCCCTTTAGCAGTGATATAATCCCTTTAGTAGTGGCATAATAATCCGTTTAGCAGTGACATAATCCATTTAGCAGTGGCATAACAATCCCTTTAGCTGTGACATAACAATCCATTTAGCAGTGACATAATCCCTTTAGCAGTGACATAATCCCTTTAGCAGTGACATAATCCCTTTAGCAGTGACATAATCCCTTTAGCTGTGACATAATCCCTTTAGCAGTGACATAATCCCTTTAGCAGTGACATAATCTATTTAGCAGTGACATAATCCCTTTAGCAGTGACTTAACAATCCCTTTAGCAGTGACATAACAATCTATTTAGCAGTGACATAACAATCCTTATGCAGTGTTGCCAGTACAAAACTTTGTCTCACAACAAGAATGCGCTCTTTACATAATTTCATTTATTCCCATTGAAGCCCTATGACCACCAAGATTTTCATGTTTACCCAACTTGGACAATTGAACCCCGGTTCGCCGACCCACGAGATTAGCCATCTGTGAATATAGACACAAAAGTATTTGTATTCATTCTAAACAGAAGAAATCAAAATGTACTTCGGACAATCTCATTAAAACCTAATGCACATCTGCATTTGCTGGTCCAACAATTTGGAACGCCCTTCCAGTCGATCTCAGAAACAACCAGACACTGGAGTCCTTTAAAACCGATTTAAAGACACATTTATTTCGCAAACACCTTCTGGGATGATTGTCTACCATATTTTCCATTTAATGCATATTAGCTGTGTTGCTCAGGGTTGAAATGGGTTGAAAGACTTTGACATTGTATGCTTGTAATTAGTTTTTGTAGTGTTGCGTTTGTTTTAAATGTGGTAAATTATAGATTTGTTGTTTTTTTTACTCTTGTACCGCGCTTCGAGCCTTTGGGGATGAAGCGTGTTTTTGAAATGAACTTTATTATTATTATCTCATGAAAACCTACTGCAAATCTCATTAAAACCTAATGCACATCTCATTAAAACCTCCTGCAAATCTCATGAAAACCTACTGCAAATCTCATGAAAACCTACTGCAAATCTCATTAAAACCTAATGCACATCTCATTAAAACCTACTGCAAATCTCATGAAAACCTACTGCAAATCTCATTAAAACCTAATGCACATCTCATTAAAACCTACTGCACATCTCATGAAAACCTACTGCAAATCTCATTAAAACCTAATGCACATCTCATGAAAACCTACTGCAAATCTCATTAAAACCTACTGCAAATCTCATTAAAACCTACTGCAAATCTCATTAAAACCTAATGCACATCTCATTAAAACCTAATGCAAATCTCATTAAAACCTACTGCACATCTCATTAAAACCTACTGCACATCTCATTAAAACCTACTGCACATCTCATTAAAACCTAATGCACATCTCATTAAAACCTACTGCAAATCTCATTAAAACCTACTGCAAATCTCATTAAAACCTAATGCACATCTCATTAAAACCTACTGCAAATCTCATGAAAACCTACTGCAAATCTCATTAAAACCTAATGCACATCTCATTAAAACCTACTGCAAATCTCATGAAAACCTACTGCAAATCTCATAAAAACCTACTGCAAATCTCATGGAAAACCTACTGCAAATCTCATGAAAACCTACTGCAAATATCATGAAAACGTAATGCACATCTCATTAAAACCTACTGCAAATCTCATGAAAACGTAATGCACATCTCATTAAAGCCTACTGCAAATCTCATGAAAACCTACTGCAAATGACTTACATGTTTTTTTTATTGCTCGTGTTTATAATCAAGTAAAATATTTGGAATTATATTTGTATATTAATTTTTCCTCGGCATATATTGATGTATAAGTTCCTACGAAAGATGACATTTAATGGGGGCTGATTCTTGACTAATCATCCCCGAATTATGTTTAGAATCTATGAGAGTAGATTTGAAGGATATTTCTTCACCAGCCACGCTTCACATCGCAAATTTCCTGCAGTACAAACGGTCACCAATAAACATAAGAAGGCGCACCTTTGAGTGTGCTTGTTTACCTTGAAGTAAATAAAACTCCTAGATGTACACACACACAAATTAAAAGGGACTTACGATTGTAAACGACGGTTCCTAGCACGAGAATCATCGTAAGGGCCACTGATCTCCATACTGGACGTCACTGCACTGGCCAGCAAGGATGTCGTATCCACTTCAGCCGTGAAAAGATCTTCTCTGGACATTCTCTGGGAACTGGAGGAGGCGGAAGAGGAGAGTGTCCTCCGACGACCGGTCACCTTGACACTCTCACCAGACGACACGTGCTTGGCCCCACCGCTGCCTTTTGTCATTTTTTGACTCTCAAGATTTTTCTCAAGACCTTTGCCTCGATCTGGAAAACATGGACATATCAGAACTTCGTGCTATATGCTGACAGACATTCGGAGATGCGGACATTCAAGGAGACGAACATTATGGGATGCGGACATTCAGAGAGGCGAACATTCAGAGAGGCGGACATTCAGAGAGGCGGACATTCAGAGAGGCGGACATTCAGAGAGGCGGACATTCAGAGAGGCGGACATTCAGAGAGGCGGACATTCAGAGAGGTGGACCTGGGGGTGCGGACATGCAAGGAGACGGAAATTTAGATGAGGTGGAAATTCGTGGAGACGGAAATTCAGGAGATGGGCACTCAGAGCACAAAAACAAAATATGGCCCCAAGTCCCTTTTCGGTAAATAGAGGAATATGTGTGCGCGTGAAAAATAACTTTGGAAAAATATTTATAAAATATCAGACTGCTCTGTGTCTGTGTCCATTCTCTTATTGTAACCATTCGGATGACTAGCAACTAACATGGGACTGACCGTGGGATGGGACTGACATGGAGATGGGACTGACAGAGAGATAGGACTGACAGAGAGATAGGACTGAGAGTAATAAGGGGATAGCGCTGACATGGGACTGACTGACAGTGACTTGGGTGACAGTGACATTGGACTGACAGTAACATCACACTGACTGGCAGTGAGATTGCATAGCAAGGGCCTCACAGAACTCAGGGGATAACCTTTAAAAGACCACGTCAATCATCATACAGACTATATTTCGAAGTTATAAAACTGTAGGTATTTACTTTAGGAACCACGACCCTTTGCACCACGTGACGCTAATGTATAGTTTTGTCTGAACGTTCGCATTAAATTTGCTTATGACATTCTACAGGCTGCTGCCACAGAACTTATAAATAAGATGGCAGATTAAATTCATAGGATCAGTCTTTTTTTTTTAAATAATTGTTTTCATTTTTTTTCGGATTGTTATTTTAATGTTGAATATCTGTCAGCTCACCCTCGCCGTCTCCCGTGGATGAGCCAGGCATCTCTGGCTGTGGTTCGGTTGGTTGCACCTCGGCACCATCTCCAGCAGCCTCGTTGTGACTGCTCACTGCGTCGGCGAAATTCTGATCTTCCGACTGAGCTTCCGCCATGACACTGGTTTATACAACGGAGACCTGTGCACAAATGACAATGGTTTATTTAAGGGAGACATATGCACAAATGACAATGGTTTATATAAGGGAGACATATGCACAAATGACAATGGTTTATTTAAGGGAGACATATGCACAAATGACAATGGTTTATTTAAGGGAGACATGTGCACAAATGACAATGGTTTATTTAAGGGTGACCTGTGCACAAATGACCGTGTTTTGTACGAGTGAGGCATGTGCACGACAGTGGTCAATGACAGATTGGGAAGTCGGTCAATGACAGATTGTGAAGTCGGTCAATGACAGATTGTGAAGTCGGTCAATGACAGATTGGGAAGTCGGTCAATGGCAGATTGGGAAGTCGGTCAATGACAGATTGGGAAGTCGGTCAATTACAAATTGGGAAGTCGGTCAATTACAAATTGGGAAGTTGGTCAATGACAGATTAAGAAGTCAGTCAATGACAGATTTGGAAGTCGGTCAATGACAGATTAAGAACTTGGTCAATGACAGATTGGGAGGTTGGTCAACGACAGATTGGGAAGTTGGTCAATGACAGATTGGGAAGTTGGTCAATGATGATTGGGAGGTTGATCAATGACAGATTGGGAAGTCAGTCAACGACAGATTGGGAAGTCAGTCAACGACAGATTGGGAAGTCAGTCAACGACAGATTGGGAAGTCTGTCAACGACAGATTGGGAAGTCGGTCAACGACAGATTGGGAAATCGGTCAACGACAGATTGGGAAGTCGGTCAATGACATATTGGGAAGTCGGTCAATGACAGATTGGGAAGTTGGTCAATGACAGATTGGGAAGTTGGTCAATGACAGATTGGGAAGTTGGTCAATGACAGATTGGGAAGTTGGTCAATGACAGATTGGGAAGTTGGTCAATGACAGATTGGGAAGTTGGTCAATGACAGATTGGGAAGTTGGTCAATGACAGATTGGGAAGTTGGTCAATGACAGATTGGGAAGTTGGTCAATGACAGATTGGGAAGTCGGTCAATGACAGATTGGGAAGTCGGTCAATGACAGATTGGGAAGTCGGTCAATGACAGATTGGGAAGTCGATCAATGACAGATTGGGAAGTCGGTCAACGACAGATTGGGAAGTCGTCAATGACAGATTGGGAAGTTGGTCAACGACAGATTGGGAAGTCGGTCAACGACAGATTGGGAAGTCGGTCAACGACAGATTGGGAAGTCGGTCAACGACAGATTGGGAAGTCGGTCAACGACAGATTGGGAAGTCGGTCAGTGACAGATTGGGAAGTCGGTCAACGACAGATTGGGTAGTCGGTCAATGACAGATTGGGTAGTCGGTCAATGACAGATTGGGAAGTTGGTCAATGACAGATTGGGAAGTTGGTCAATGACAGATTGGGAAGTTGGTCAATGACAGATTGGGAAGTTGGTCAATGACTGATTGGGAGGTTGATCAATGACTGATTGGGAAGTTGGTCAGTGACAGATTGGGAAGTTGGTCAGTGACAGATTGGGAAGTTGGTCTGTGACAGATTGGGAAGTTGGTCAGTGACAGATTGGGAACTTGGTCAGTGACAGATTGGGAACTTGGTCAGTGACAAATTGGGTAGTAGGTCAATGACATATTGATTACTTTGGTCAAAGACATCTTGGGGAATTTTGTCAATGATATATTGGGGAATTCGGTCAATGACATATTGGTAACTTTGGTCAATGACGTATTGGGAATTCGGTCAATGACATAAGGGAGTTGGTCAATGAAATTTTGTGGAATTGGTCAATGACATATTGGGGAATTTGGTCAATGACATATTAGGGAATTTGGTGAATGGGGAGTGGATATGTTTCTCCATAAACAAGCTGAGAGGTGTTCCATTATTGGCAGAAACAGAAAAATACTAAATTAATTTAATGTCTTTCGCTTGATTCATAATATTCCCTAGAAATGCAATATTCCCTAGCTACACCCTACTCCCTAACCATAGGCGCCCGCAGAAAACTTTCTAGGGGGGGGGGCAAAAAAAATCGATTAACTTTCCAGGGGGGGGGGGCAAAAAATTTTTAGTAATGTTTTAATATAGTTTTTGTTTTAATTTACCGTAGCGTATTTGTATGGTGAACGAACGGACAGGACATCAGCTTAGTTACTTTCTCTTTATTTTCTCTTTACTTTAATAAATTTTTTGTCTATTTTTGTCTAAATATTTTTTATCCAATCAATCGAGGGGGCAGGGGCAAGTGCCCCCCCCTGCGGGCGCCCATGTCCCTAACTACGCCTATTACCTAGTTACACCCTATTTCCTAGCTTCGCCATTATCTCTAGCCACGCCATTTACCTTAGTTACCCCATAAACCATGGCAATACCCCACGACTCTTCCTATTAAAAAAATCCGGAACACTGCCAAAGATGCTACATGTACGTATAATAAATGTATGATTGGCGAAAATAGTGGTGTGAAGGTTTCCAACCCTACTTTTCACTGTCGTAAAAATCATCAGATAGTCACCCTTTCCCTTAAAATTGAACAGTTTCTTAAACCAATTTCGCAATTTTTTTTCTTTAATTTCATTGAAGTAACTAAATTTGATATTTAAAACTCAACCAATGAACAATTAGCTGTGGAAATTTGCCTTGAACTTCTGTTCAAGGGAGCGCACTTACAACACGTGTGGAATCAGTACAACACGTGTGAAATCAGTACTATACTATGTAACCAACCGTGTTATTCCATTTTACCCTAAAGACTGTAAGTGTTAGAAAGCCATTGTTCTAGATTTCTTAAGGCGGGCAATTTTCATCAGTTCTAGTGTAATTCGTCCTTAACCAACAAAAAATAATTGTTTTGCCTTAAAATATTTAAACCTTTACTCGTACAAAATAATGAACTAACAATTTTCGTGTGGACATCTATAAACTCAAACTACATAATTATTTAAAATCGAAATGTTATTTTCAAGAAATACGAAGCTAATTTATGAAATGGCTTTACGTGTTAACTGGCGGGAAATCAAGACAGTCAAAATTTACGCGATCCATCAATTTCATTTTTCCATTTTAAAAGAATAACAGAAGCAAATCTTCCTTTACCTTTACTTTGTTCTGTATTTTTAAATCCACATAAGAGTATTGCTCTTTTAGCAATGTAGAGGTCTTGGACATAAAGACAGTCAAGACCTCGCCTGTGAATGTCCAATGTGTGTGTGTCTGTCAACTGTGTGTGTCTTTCCAGTGTCTGTCTGTCCACGGTTCGTGAGCTCAAAGACAAAGGACTCGTGTGGGTTGTTTGTTGTGTGAATATTTTTCGTTACCCGTCTCGCTGCTCCTGGACTGATTCTCACAATGACAACAAATGGCAGATACCATTCCTCCCCCCTTCCCCACCACCACAGTTAACAACAACTCACCTCCATTCACACGGCATCGCCACGATCTCCCTGTCCGTGTTTGTTGTGTGTCGTAAAGCGGTCATGTATGAGAGCGTGGCATTTTTTTTTTTTTTACATCAATGCAAACTTGACGACTTCAGAAATTATTTCAGTATGTTAAATGTGGTTGCCAACATATGTTACATTGTCGGATTAAGACATTTGGGGCCCCCTTTGACAGTCACTACTGAACCTCACTCAGACGTGTACCCAGGTTGTGTGGAGAGGGTGATCCCCGGACGGCACTTTTGTGTTACATATATAGGCTAAACAGTATATAAATCAACCTGTTAGGGGAGTGCATTTTTTAGATTTCGCTCCGAGCGTGTCCGGAAATTTGTATGGAAGAATTTTTTCCGAAGAATTTTTTTTTTTTCACGGATTTATTGTGGTCACTTATTTGCTTGCAAAAATGGCTGACATTGTTTATTTGCATCTACTCATCCCTGGTGACATCCACAATCATCCCTGCTGTCATCCACAATCATCCATTGGTTTAATTAAAGTCTAAGGAACCATTTGCGACGTTGTTTTCTTTGGCTAACTTTTCTGTTACCCCCCCCCGCCCCCCCCCCCCAATATCATAACTTGTTATGCGCTGAGATGCCCGAGGTGGCTTCCTATCAGCTCTATTTGTTTTCTTTGGCTACCTTTTCTGTTACCCCCCCCCGCCCCCCCCCCCCAATATCATAACTTGTTATGCGCTGAGATGCCCGAGGTGGATTCCTATCAGCTCTATACATCCAGTGGCGACATCCCAAATTACAAGATTAGTTTAGTAAAGACGCGTAATCTCTAGGGAACAATTTCCACTTACTTCATTTTCAATTTTCGGTTATTTCAAATACCGGTTCGCTAAGCTTTTTAACATTTAAGAAACGGTTCGCGCGAACCGGTAACAACATTATATATGTTTCTGTATGTTGAGAAGGGGGCATTTTTAAACAACTTCGGTAATTTTTCATGGGGGGGGGGATCTTAACCCACCCCTGGCGCCACTATCCCTAGCCACGCCACTGGGTAGAGGACTGAATAATTGTGAACAACATCTGATCGCTAAGTGAAATGACTGGGAGTGCCTCTAGGAACAAAGTCACAACATGCGATGACTTTAACTTAAGTAACGACAAAACTATTGCTGAAGAAACAGATCGTGCAAAGTTCAGTATTTACAAGCATGCTCAAGATCAAATAAAGTGGATTCTTTATCGCGGGGGGGGGGGGCTATAAAAGGCGGGGAGGGTTTTGGGGGCCCTTGGGGATGTGTCTCATTTGCCTTACACTTACTTGGTTAATTCGGTGCTGGTATGTTGAGTTGTGGAATCAAGTTTTTATAAAATTATTTGCACCCATATGGTTGTGCGGTTATTGGCAAAATAAGTGGTATCTGGTGCGGACACCCCCCCCCCTTTCCTCCATTTCCCAATCCCACATCAGGGGAAGACCACCCAATCTTCCTGCGCTCGTGCCAGCCAATAATACCCCGGACGGAACATAACTAAACTTTAGAAATGTACAATACAAGGGTTTCAAATCTTATTTTCAGCTTAAAATTAAATTTTATTTGATTATCTCCCTTGCTTTAAAAAAGCACTACCGCATGGTCCTTCGCTTCATAATTATGTGTTTTTACCATTGTTGTTGTTTCGTAAGCGGGCTGTACACAATACGTTTGACGCAAACTTTTTGTTGACTATTGTTTTAACAAGTATGCTAATTTACGCAAAAGGCAATCATTGACGTGATTTAAATTAAATGCTTTAAAAAATTACGCATAATTTTGGAGTTTGTTTCTATCTATGTCCTATATAAAATATCAAATTCTAAGTTGGCTTTAAAAGACGGTTTGTCTCAACAACCGATGATTTATGTAATATTTATCAAGTTTTGAGGCATAAATTCTTTATTCCAAAATACTTTAAAACTGCCCCATCCTCTCATTCCAAAACAAATGGATTTTGTAAAACATAAAGACTTTGAAAAAAATGTAAAAAGAAAAAGGAGGGGGATGGTGGGTGTGATAAAGATGTTTGTTTAACAAGGAAAATTTTAAAATAAACAAAGTCATAGTTAAATGAATAATTTTTCAAGTAAATTGTTGCAAATAACTTTAATAACTTAAGATATGCTTACTAAACTTATTTTATACCTTTAGAAAATTTATCCCTGGCCTTCTCACCTTTTTAACTCTGAAACTCTGATCATTTCCATGCTAGAAGAACTTCACGTGAGTGACGTCATTTTGTATAACCATCGTAGCTGCAGCTTTTGCACTGGACAGAGAAATAAAATATTTATCAGATTTTAGTGAAATTTTCCTACAGTACAGTATTTTCAATAAGTCAATATGACATTTCTCAAAACGTGTGCTTATCAGGAACATTAACTTCAAGGTCCTCTAAGGGACACCAATTTCTAATGGCTCGCAATATATATATGTGTGTATGTGTGTGTGAGTGTGCTATATAAAAATACGTACATTTTAAACTGTACTATACCTCAAACGGGGGACAGCCCACTCGTCAACTCCTCCCATGAATTTAAGTCCCACCTCTTTTGCTCCGCCCCATCCACGCAAACAGCTGTTGAGATATGGGGGAACCCCCTGTTATATAACTACTACCTATGTATATATATGGGATCCATATTGATGACTTAGTGTGAAGGATACTAAATGGTCAATATGCAAATTTATGTAAATTTATGCAAATTTTTGAAGTATAAATTATGCTAATTATGGATCAAAACGAGGCTGTCACGTGACCAATGTATTTTTATGCGACGCCATGTTCGGCATTTGTGGAGGGAAATACTTCATTTATCAGTGAGTTGTTCTACTCTTCCTATCTAAACAAAGGTTAGCATCACATTGTTTTCTTCAGTTCTAAAGCAATCTTACAAAACGAATGATTAATTCTTCGTGCATTCAGACTCTGCAGGGCAAAGCAGAGTCGAATTCAATCAGCGAGTTGAAAATTTCGCGGAAAGATCAACTGTGACCGAAACATTGTTTCTAAAAATAGAACACCTAAGTCTTAACTCTTTCAGGAAAGTAAAAAGGGACCCAATGACGATCCAAACACAATAGTTTGGATTTTTTTTTTTTTGCATTTGTATCCATAGCGATGTAGCTAGATGTTAGTTAGTTTTAAAATCGATATGGTGTCAATTTGTGGCATTTACTACATACAAAACTTCGGCCTTTGTTCTCGCACGAGCACGACAGTTTTTATTTTTTGTAAAAAACCATTGCCATTTCCCACACTACACTAACACTACTATTAAGCCTATCTCACGATTATAACTAGTCAGTCAGCTGTCTGAACTAAAAGTAGCTATCCCTCAAGGCCCCAGGTAAGGCTACTAGCATTCCTATTATATACCCTGTGGTCAATACTATACTATTCATCTCCTTCTTAGACCTGTTTACCCCTAGGTCTGGGTTAGTGTCAGAGTACTCTTAGTCTTAGTAGTTTTCATTTTCAGCACTCAAAAACACATAGTTTCAAGCTCTAAAGAGTAGTTTGTGCAAATAAAGGTCGAGTGCTTGATTGAGAAGTTCCAGAAGTGGACACCTGAGGTGGGTGATAGGACGATTGCCTTTTCTTAAACATTTTTGCCTCCAAATGGCACAAGATGATTGCTGACTCTGACTTGATGCATTGATGTCAATAAAACTTGTTCAACTTTGGTTCTCTCACAGCCGCCTAACCATCATGCCTTTAAATGTGTTGTTGTGGGACATTATTATATTAACGCTAGACCTTGAATACAGAAATAAAAAATAATTAATCATCGAGACAATTATGTATTAATAGAGTTGGTAGAGATACTAATACAGGCCTGCGGCTTATGCAGTGATCACTGAACCAACAGAGTGCGGAAGAAGAGGTATATTAAATTTAATCATGAAATTCCTCTACTTTGATCATGTCATAGCTTAGGGTAGAACTACTACTTATACTGTAAGCTTCCGTAATTACTATTATTTGAATTAGCATTTTTTTAATCACTCAGCTTAAAGTAAACCGGGGGAAAAAAGGCAATGATTAGTGAAAAAGTAGTCTAATAATAAGTAGTTGTATTTAATAGACGGATCATTTTAATTTTAGTGATCTGGCACATAGTTGACATCGACATAAACTTATTCTATTTAAAATGGCTGTCTAACAATGAAAACCTAGAAAAACTACATTAAAATAAATATTGGCTACAATAAAGTAATTGTACACTTTCTGTCTTTACTTACCACTATATATGTTGATAGGTGAACAGAGAAGAAAAAAACTTCCAAGGCATTACGGTACTAATATTTTGTTTGTTAAATATGTAAAATGGAAAGTGCATGGGCAATCAAGGGGATATCACTTAGGCATTGAGACCAAGTCCAAAAGGGCTGAAAAATAGATGGCCCATGGGCAGTGAAGTACAATGCATCCTCTAAAGCTAAAATATTCTGGTTGTACATTGAGATCGAGACCGCAAAGGCCAATCACTGTTAATCCTTTTCGATTACTTACACTGTGAACACAAAATATGCAGTAACTTTTTACTGAAAACATCCCAATTATTTATTTTTTTATTAAAAATAAACCTTACGAACGAAGCCATAGTTTATTAAGGCTCGCCGTAGTCTTAGGCTTAAAAACATATGTACTACTGCGAAAGCAAAGGGGTTGACAGGTCTGCCTTCTATACAAGTTATTGCTATCATAGGCCGAGTCATAGTACCAATTGATAGAATGTTGTGTTACATGCAGTCATATGGTTTTGACGGTTTTGCAAATTAAATCTGTTTTAAGATATAGCTTATTTGTTAAACAACATATAAAAGAGGACTGATAACCAGTCTACAACTAAAAATGATATCTAAGCTAGTGATATAAACAATATTCATTTCAATAATACTACTA